AATGGGGATTTCCCCTGTAGCTCAGACTAGCCCAGATCCCGAGATCTTCCTGTCTCTGCCTTGAGTATTATTTTATGTTTGTTTTTCTGAAGTAGGATCTGGAACTCACTCTTTAGACCAGGCTGGCCTCAAAACACATAGCGATCCACCTGCCTCAGTCTCCCGAGTGCTGGGATTAAAAGCATGTACAAATACACCTGGATATTTTTCTTAGTCTTAAATGAGTTAAAAAATTTACTTTTATTACCAGGTGGTGGTGGTACACGCCTTTAATCCCAGCACTCGGGAGGCAGAGGCAGTTGGATCTCTGTGAGTTTGAGGCCAGCCTGGTCAACAGAGCGAGTTCCAGAACAGGCTCGAAAGCTATACAGAGAAACCCTGTCTAGAAACTTTTTTTTAAAAAAATAATTTTATTATTAAAGATTTTAAAATGAATATGAGTGTTGGCCTGAATGCGTGTCTGGTGTCCACAAGTCAGAAGAGGGTGTTGGATCTCTGGAAGCGGGTTCCATGCAGATGACCGTGAGCCTCCGTGGTTCTCAGAACCAGGTCGTCTTTGGGAGCAGCAGTGCTCTTTGCCACTGAGCCATCTCTAGAGCCCCACACTTCCACTAAATTGTAGCTGGTCCATGGGGGATAGTACATAGAAGACTGCTTTACACTGTAGAGTAAAATGCGCTTTATAAAAATGATTTTTTAAGATAACGCTGTTCCCCCATTCTCTCAAAATCAGCTTTGCCAGAGTCAAGCTTCCATCCGGCTGTGTTTCCGGCAGTCAAGCTGACATGCTAACCTACCTCTCAGTTCTAACACTCGCTTGAGTTTGAGGCCAGCTTGGTCTGCAGAGAAAGAGTTTCCAGGACAGCCAGGACCACACAGAGAAACACTGTCTTAAAAAAAAAGACTAAGAAGTGTGATTTCTGAGTTCTTTGCCTTTTTATTTTTCTCATTTGCTTGTAATATACCAAGTAAAAATGATCCTTTTTTTTTTTAATTACTTCAAAGTCTACACGTTTCTGCTTTGAAAAGTCACGCACTACTTACTTCTTGGAACACCCCTACTCCACCCTGTGCAATACATTTTAAGGGCTTTACAGTTGCTACTGAGTTGGAGCTTCATGCACACACACACACACACACACACACACACACACACACACACACATGCCGGCCTGATCTACTGAACAAGTTGCAAGACAGCCTCCAAAGCTACAGAGAAACCCTGTCTTGAAGACAAAGGGGGAGGGGCTTAGGGGTTAGTTCAGTGACACAGCCCATGAGCTCATGCTTAGCATGCTCAAGGCCTGGAATTCTAGCCCCAGCACTATTTTCACAAAATCAAGTAGTGTGGAATAGCAGGATTAAATAACCTTTTAGGTGTGTCTAAAGCAAGTCCTCGGATTTGGGTGGACTGTCATTAAAAAGATGCACTCCAATTAATTCATGCTAATATTTCATCCTTTTACTAGTAGTGATTATTCCCTAATAATGCTTTTTAAATTGAAACAAAAAGGAATTTATTGATTTCCTGGCATGTGCTATGGGCACCTGCCTCAGAATCCAGTCAAAGTGGCAACTTGAAGGTTCAAATTAAATTGCAGATTGTATTCATCGGGATGGTGTTTCTTGGAAATTAGAATTAACCAAAAGTTTGATACTTTTGTTTTTAGCAAATCTGAATTCCCCTGGCATGCAATGTACCCTGATGTCTCATGGTCTGCTCGGTGCCTGGAAGCTACAGTTGATCTTCCAGCGGGGATGCACAGACCCACAGAGTAGTTTCTAGGAAACAACACAGTAGGAACCCTGGCTGTTTCTTACAGGGTAATTAAAGTGGTTAGCAGAGAATGCTGCCACTGAAAAGGGAAATGGACTGGTTGCCAGAGCTGTGTGTTGTGTACTCAGGAATAGGCAGTCGACCACTGGGATGGACATACGAGAGGGAGGGTCTGGCACTGCGGTAGCGGCAGGCTGTAGTGCCCAGCACTCCAGAGCACACTTTAAGACTGCACTATAGGCTTCCTAGCTCATGACTGAGCTAAAGAGTTACCAACTTCAATAAAAAGATGTATCTATTAGTTCTTGATACAATCTTAGGGACATAGTTAAAAGCAATCAGTGTAGATCCGTGACTTCAAGGCAACCATGTTGTTTTTTTCTTCTCAAGAATTAGTGCCTTTGCGAGCCCTTGTGGGAATAACTGTAATTGGCATCCAGCTGGAGCAGCCTAAAGACTGCCTGAGCTGTGTACAGCCTGCATCCTCTACAGCTAATGGTGTACACTAGTTAAATGTGTAGAATTGCACCCAGGCTGTGATCAGGAAAACTGACCTTGTCTCATGTGCTGTGGTTTAGAGTCAGCGTCATATTGAAATATTAATAATGTAAATTATTTACAGTGTTGTATGTTAAAAGATATTGATAGAAAGTTATTACAGTCAGTGGCTCATTCTAAGTTAGGCTTGAACTTCTAAAATACCAAAACTGTCATATAGTCCAGCAAAATGTGTATCATGTAAAATCCCTTACTCCATTTCCCCAAATTGTATTTCCAGTTACTCTAAATAATGATAGAAACTATATTTTCTTGCGCATATATGTATTCATATATATGCTAAACTATAATACATTAAAGGAAGTTACCAGAGAAACAGTATCAGAAAAATTAACTAGAATATCTCGTAACTCCTTTCAATGTGAGGAAGTTAGTATAATTTTGAAAGATCCTTTTGCTGAGGTTGCTCACAGAGAACACGGATATACACCAGCATAGTGATGCTTACCTGTAGGTCCAGCATCTGAGAGGAGGAAGTGGAGAGGCAAGGTCAGCTTTATCCCATGATGTGTTCAAGGCCAGCCTGGGCTACTTGAAATCCTATCTTTAAAAACAAAAAAAAAAACCTAATGCAGCCAGGCGTTGGTGGCGCACACCTTTGATCCCAGCACTCGGGAAGCGGAAGCAGGTGGATCTCTGTGAGTTCGAGGCCATCCTGGTCTTTAGAGGGAGTTCTAGGACAGGCTCCAAAACAATACAGAGGAAACCCTGTCTTGAAAAAAACAAAACAAAACAAAACAAAAACCTAATGCAAGCCAAGCTGGGTTTTCCAGAGTGAATTCTAGGAGAGCCAGGGCTACACAGAGAAACCCTGCCATGAATGCCCCACAAAACCCCAAACATACCCATCTCTCCTAGAAAAGGAAAAACTCAACCCGGAACTCAGAGAGATCCGCCTGCCCTGCCTCCCCAGGGCTGGGGTTAAAGGTGTGCACCCCCACCAACCCAGCTCAGACTAGGTTTTTCTAAAATGACCTCGGAAAATTCTGAAACTCATTCTTTCTCTCCGTTCTGACAAATATTGTCATTCATCATTACGAAGTTGGAGCCTGGCTTCCCCATTTCTTCTGAAAACATAAACTTATAGATGCTTATAACCAGAAGGCATTTAAAATACATAAGTTGTTCTTGTTAATAGCTGGTTTTCCCACCTTGGAATCAAGGTGGAAAGAAATTGATCATGAATCTCTTCATTTCAGTCACAACCAGCAGGTGCTTAATGTTTCGATTTGACCATTGCCCATTTGAATGCCATGGGTCCTTTTTGTAACGAATCCCAGTCCATTGTCATCTGGTTGCCCTGGACTTTTCCCCAAGGTGTGATCAGGGGTTTTACTCAAAATTCCAAGCTACTATGTAACTTTGAACTAACAAGGAGGAATTGTTCCTTACCCCTCCTTATTATGCATTGCTGTGGTCCAGAAATGCCAAACTTTATTTAAAAGGATAGTACAACTTGAGTCCTTGGCTTGACTGTACAGGCTTGAGCTTTGTGGCATATCAATTTTGCCATCTGCATAGGAGAGCGGTTGTATGTAAAATACATCAGTTGTGCCCAAAATGAGGTCAGTGTTTCTCAGTGAGCCCCAAACAGAACAGGCAGTTTTGGTGGAGGACAGATTGGCCAGCCAGCTACTGGACACAGGGCCTGGAAGGTCAGGGGTTAGTAGTACAGCCACAGGAGAGCCTCGGAGAAGACAGCACCCTGGGGTGCTGCTGGGTTCCCTGCTGGGAGGGAGCTAGGCAGGTGGCTCAGCCAAAGCCTTGCTGGTTGCTTACTTTGAGTCTTGCTGTTCTACAGTCATTTCACAGATTCCAAAAGACTGTTGTCTTAGTATTGTTCTCATCTCAAATTTCTGCACAACTTTCTCCTCTCCTCTCCCCCCCCCACCCTCCTCCCAAAAGAATCTAAGGAGAGAACAGTGTATTATGGCTCACACTTGAGAGGAACACAGTCCTCCGTAGGGAAGCAGGTGGCAGAGCATCAGGGCAGTCACATTGTAGCCTCAGCTGGGGGGCAAAGAAAGCAGGGACTCTGCTCACCTCCTCCTCCCTCCTTCCTCAGTCTTGGGCCCCAATGCACAGGACTCTGCCACTCACATTCAGGGGTAAACCTCAGCTTAACCTCTGGAAACTCCTTCACGACACATGTAGATGTGTTTCCTGTGTAACTCCAAATCCAGCCCAAGTGACAGTGACAATGACCCGTCACAACTGTGAACCCTGAGGAAACATGGACAAAGCCCGGCGTCTGCAGACGTAAAGCTGAGATGGCAGTAGCACACGGAGGTCATGCTGTGACATAAGACCTTCCCTTGGAGAGGGTCACACTTCAGCCCCGTGCTGTGCTGTGGCAGTTAGTGATGTAGGCAGAGGGTACAAATAAGGAACTCCAACTGAGAGCTAAGCAGACTGCAGCTTTTCCTCCAGATTGGATAGTATTTACTTTATTATAAAATTGCAATTATATAGCATCCTGAGTTGGGACAGTGTTAACTCCCATCCTTTAGTAACTGATGAACGGAATTCTGGATGAAATCTTTTCACAGGGCATCCTGCATCATCTTCCCAGAGCTGTCAGAACTGGGACTGTTCACTTATACGCCCTTCACTTTGTGTCAGGGAACACACACTGATTAGTTACTGGGTTTCCTTTCTCCATAAGGCACAGGACCTCAGTGTCATTGAGGAAGTGATCCGGATGATGTTGGAAATCATCAACTCCTGCCTGACAAACTCTCTTCACCACAACCCAAACTTGGTATACGCCTTGCTCTACAAGCGGGACCTCTTTGAGCAATTCCGGACTCATCCTTCATTTCAGGACATAATGCAGAATATTGATCTGGTAAGTGTACATGGTGGCCTTCATCTCTGTTGTCTTTATTTTGCTTTTTTGATGTCAGATCTACCATGCAGCCCAGGTTGTCCTCAAACTCATGACCCTCTTGCCCCATCCTCCAAAGCACTGGGATTCATAGGCAAAGGGCACCACACCCATCGTGATGCTTTTTTAAGTAGTAAAGGTGAGAAAGTTCAGTTTAGCAAACTGGTCTTACAAGTATGGGTATACAGTCTCAGGAAGAGTGGACATGTGCACAGGTGCCTCTAAGTACAGTCTCAGGAAGAGTGGACATGTGCAGGTACCTCTAAGGTGTCTGTCTTTATTAGTTTTTCTCGGGTGAGAATCATCAGGCTCCCAGCAGGGCTCTACAAGCTATCTGCAGGGTTTCAAAGTCTGAGTTAGAAGGAGGTTGCTCGAGTTGGGGTAGGAGTAGGGAATGGCTTCTAAATGCCTCCTGGCTTTCTGGGTGATCCCTGACTACGTGCATAGATTCTGGTCAGGCTTCTGATATTTAATATGTTCTCTCTCCATCCCTATAAGACAGTTTACCAAAGTAGAGTGGTTTCCCCTGTCACATAATCTGGTGTAGATGGGTGAGCACTGAAACAAAGTCAGCCTTGGGCCTCCGCTCCCTCCGTTCCAGCTCGCTGCACAGAACATAGCAGGTGCAGAGTTAAGGACTGGGCTGTTAGGTGGAAACTGCTCTTTCTAGAGCAGAACTCATGTGTTTCTCTTTGGAAGTGGAGCACTTAAGTTTAAGAATCACGGTGCTCGTGAGTTTAGAGGGATAACAAAACCCTTTCTCAGCTTGCACTGGAAATTGTGCTAATTGGCTTCTAGCTGGGTTCCCTGGAAAGCTAATGAAGGTGGAATGTCATCTGTGCCACCAAGCAACCCTGCTACGATACAAAACTATGATGGAATGACATTTGATTGGCAAGCCGAGTCTACATTGGGAAGAACTATATAATACCTGGTGAGAAGCAATAGTTTGGAGCTTTTAAAAGTGAGGATTCTCATGACCAAGTGTGTCCTTATAGGACCCAGAAACTTAAGCTGTCACAGTGTTGGTTTCTCTTGAGCACATGTTCTCTAAGCTGGGGTGGCTGCTGCATCTACCTGAAGTAGTCTGAGTCTCTTGCATCTGAGCTGGAAAAATGTTTAATAATGGTAATTTTGCCAGCCTCCATGTCTCTATTCTGTGACATTCCACTCTCGGTGTGTCTGCCCATCTGGCTGTCATCTTCCTAGCTTAGCTTTTGCTTTCCTCCAGTTTCCTTTTCCACAGTGTCCTAACCAGGGTTACTATAGCTGTGATGAAAGACCTCGAGCAAAGCAGCTGGGAGGAGAGGGTTTATTGCACTCGAAGTTCCATAGAACAGTCCATTATCAAAAACAGTGAAGGCTGGGACTCAGGAAGGGCAGGAACCCAGAAGCAGGAGCTGATGCAGAGACCATAGGGGGCTGCTGCGTATTGCCTTGCGCCTCCGGGTTTGTTTAGCCTGTTTTCTTACAGAACCAAGGACCGCCAGCTCAGCTCAGGGATGGTAACCACCCACAATGGGCTGGACCCTCCCCGCATTGATCACTAATTAAGAACGTGTCCCACAGCTGGATCTTTCGGAGTCCAGCATTTTCTCAGTTGAGGTTCTCTCGTTATAGATGACTATAGCTGATGTCAGGTTGACATCAAATTAGCCACACACATCCCTTCCCATCTCTTCCTCCCTTACCTCTTCTTTCACTTCCTCTCTCCTCCTTTTTGGACGGACGGTCTCTTCAATGCGTACAGTTAATGGGTGATTATATACACATGCACTCTCTTGGGGGGAAATGCTATTTAATTCCCAGTACTTTTCCTTGTGGTAGCCAAGGTTTTCTTTGTGCTTCAGACAACCAGCTAGCCCAGAGTCAGGAACCCCTGTGGTCACAGATTGTGATGACGATAAGTCTTTGTGAGCTCACACATCTTTTGGATAATTTAGTTTTAAATTTGCATTTAAGCCATTTGTTTTCTTTCTCCTTTTAAAAAAAAATATATGTTTATTATATATTCAGTATTTTGCCTGCATATATGCCTGCATGCTAAAAGAGGGCACCAGATTTCATTACAGATGGTTGTGAGCCACCATGTGGTTGCTGGGAATTGAACTCTGGACCTCTGGAAAAGCAGCCAATGCTCTTAACCTCTGAACCATCTCTCCAGCCCCTCCTTTCTCCTTTTCTTCTTCTTCATTTTGCTTTTATTGCATGCTTGCCTAGCATTTATATGTCTTACCTTAATCACTATAAAATAAACCTGAGGTGTAGTCAATTTAATCCTCAATTTACAGATAATGAAACAGGTTTAGAAGGATCAGTTTGCTCACAGCCACCCAAAACCAAAGTGATAGAGCCAGAGGTCACGGTCGGGTGGTCTAATAGTAAGGCCCACGCCTGCTCAGCATGCCTCCTACTGACCCAGTCAGCAGAGTCTGCACATCCTCTTTACCATCCTCTTTATCCCTCATCTAACCATACACACAAGCGAGAAGCTTGCACCGTTCTCTCCCTTCTTCACCATCACACGCTGTAGAGTCTACTCTGTACTGCAGTGTGGCGAAAATGGGGAATGCTGTTGGTAACCAGGCTTCTGATAGGCATTAGAATGCCTCTGAGAGCTGGGCTCGATAGCTCACATCTGAGATCCTTGCACTGAGGAGCCTGAGATTGAGGATCACAAGTTCCAGGCCAACCTGGGTTACTTGACAAAAGGGAAGAAGGAAAGGGGCTTTGTAGAGAGGTACGTAAACCATCTACAGATTTGAACTGTAACCATCTCTAACTCGGTGTGTGTCAGAAAGAATGCAGAGCAGAGTGGAGGGCAGCGTGAGGCCTCACTGCAGGGCGCATGCATGGGCGGAAAGCAGGCGTGCAGCCGGCCTTGCAGCCAGTGCTTACCTGCCCAGGCTGCTGGGATGAGCCATTTCATGGCTCTTCACCTGTATTCAGCAAGTATACAGTGCCTAGCTTTGGCAGTATACTGCCTTTCAGTTTACAGAGTCAAATGAATAGCTAGTTCACTGTGAACACGCCCTAAGCACACCTGTCATCGTTAGTGATGCTCCAGTGCTGATGTCGACGACTGCTCCTCTACCCCAGGAGGAAGGCATCCTTGGAGAGAGGGGAAGAGGCTGGTAGGGAGTCACTTTGCTAGTAAGTCACTGAGCCACTTGAATCCAGCTCTTCTTATCCTAAATCCCACGTCTTCGGCATTCACTTGGAAAAACCTAAGTAAGACTCAAAAGGAATAAAGTTTCCATCAGTCCACCAACTTTTTACTGGATACTCTAATCCAAAATAGCGCTGACCACACTGAGAATCTATTACATTTAAGCTCTTTGGCACACAGTGACACGAACCCTGTGTATGAGGATGTATCAGCAACACCTCCTTTCTCTGTTCTTTCCTCCTTTTCCTGTCGTCCTCCTTAAACACCCTTGAAACCTAGGCTTCGGCAGACCATGGGCGTTGACAGCTGTTGGTGGAGGGGACAAGGAATCTAGCTGATGGAGTTGAGAGTTGGTATTTTTCAGGGGAATTCAGTAATGGCGAATAGCTCAGATGGGGATGACGAATCTTCGAGCACCTTTAATGTCTACAGAAGGAGTTGACTTGCATCACCCACTGTAATACTCTCTCTGTCCAGGACAGAAGACGGTGTCATCCAAGTGAATTATGGAGAAGAATCAAGTAGTTAGGACCACACAGGGAGGCGTGCGTGTGTAGCTGAGGCAGCAGGGTCTGGCACAGCATGCTATGTCACGTGTGTTTCCAGTCCTGAGCATCCTTACTGGGCGTCAGACCAGTGCCTTCAGTTGCTTTCTGACAGCCCCACAGATATTCAACTGATGAAATCACAAACTTTCCTTTCCTGCAAAAAGTGAACACAGGGCTTTCTTCTCCTCCGTCTTCCATGTCACAGTAAATAGCATCAGTATCTGTCCAGTGGCCTAAAGGGAGAGAGAGGAGGATGGGTGGGGGGAGGAAAAAGGGAAATGAGAACAACTGGAATGGAGGTTGAAAGTTGCAGATTTATAGAGAGTGCTTGGGAAGCCTCCCTGAAATGCATTTAAAAAAAAAACCCGAACTTGAAAGAGGTAGATCGTGAACCCATTGCCCTCTGGACTCACAGTGTTCCAGGCCGGGAACAGAGGGGTAAGATGAGGTGAGGGAGAACGGTCTGGGAAACAATGGGAGGTTCCGTTCCCAACATGCTGGCTCACAACCATCTGTAACTCCAGTTCGTGACTGGATCTGGATCTGATGCCCTCTTCTGACCTCTGTGGACAGCAGGCATGCGTGTAGTGCACATAGACACATGCAGGCTAAACACATAAAATAAAAAAACGAATGTTTTCCTTTAATGGCTCTTTCATTCCAGGTGATCTCCTTCTTCAGCTCAAGGCTGCTACAAGCTGGAGCTGAGCTGTCAGTGGAAAGAGTCTTGGAAATCATCAAACAAGGGGTTGTGGCGCTGCCCAAAGACAGACTAAAGGTAAGCTGTGTAATGACTTGCTTGTCGGCACCGGCTGATCATCTGATGCGCATGTCAGCATCTAGCGGGCATTTCTCGGTATCGTACCGCTGTCACAGACTGTGTATTCGCGCTGCTCCATCCTGATACCCAGAGTGCAGTTCGGTAGAGAAGAGCCAGATACACTTTCACATCGCTGAGCGCCCACGAGCGATCCCTGCACCCCCCTGAGCAGCTTTTACTGTTAGCACCTGTATTTTTATTCCAGTCAAACAAATTGAATCACACAAACCTCCCCAAAGGCTAGTGGGAAGTGGAGGTTTTGGCGATGCCAGTTACTGTGGGGCCTGATGCTTGGGAGTGCCTCGAGTTGTTGTTCCAGGGCGGCATCTGAGTGTAATACCTCATTCAGTGCCCTTCTCTAGTAGCTAGTGACAGCGGCTGAAGTCGACAGGTGAAGAATTCAGCATAGAAGGGTTGGGTTCCCCGGAGTTTTAAAACTAGAGAGTGGTTGCGATGACTCAGGCCCATGCCGTCTGGACCCAAGGCCCTTGCTTGCAATCCATACACTGCTTACTATACGCCTGGTACAGTAATGGAAAAGAAAGTGCTCCATGGAAATGGGGGAAATACTGCATTTTAAGAAAATACTTGATGTCTGGGTGGCAGAGGCTCTCTGGAAGTGAACTCCTGGGTGAGAGTCTGGAATGGATGCAACCCTTTAACACAGTTCCTCATGCTGAGGTGACCCCAGCCGCTACTGTTATGAATTGTTTCCTGATGGTATTAGGTGACCCCTATGAAAGGGTCATTTGACCCCCAAAGGGGTCATGACCCACAGGTGGCTCATGCCTCCAAGTCATCTCACCAGCACTGGGACTTAGATCTGTGGTGACACTTTTCTCTCTCAGAAAACCCAAGAAACAAACTATACAGGTGAGGTTAGTTTATACATCTCACTTTTCAGTCTGTGGTGGCAGAGAACATAGTAAGATTTGTAGGCTAGAAGCAAGACATTCCCCTGAAGTATGTGTAGCTTGTGATGAGGAAGAATATTGTTTAAGAGGGTCGAAATTAAACAAACCTGTCGCCCACCCGATCGCTAATGGTCTCATGTAAACACGTATGAGAAGAACATTTCCAGCTCTACATCCCTAGCCTCAACTCCAGTCTCCTCTAGCTACAGAGGAGCACCCAGGTCATTGTATTTCCCAGAATCCTCTTCTCCCCATGATGTCATGGATGCTGGGGTTTTGAGGCGGCTGTTCTCCAGAGCCGTGTTAGTCAGTTTCATTACTGTAACACAATGCCTGAAGGACTTGACTGACAAGCGAGATTTTGAGTGGCGGTTTCAGCCCGTGGACCAGTTGGGCCCTATTGCTGTGTGCCAGCCACGACACAGTGTGTTACTGCAAGAGCTGGTGACAAAACAAAATTTCACACCTAGTTCAGAGCCTGCGAAGAGGAGAGGAAAGGACGGGGGCTGTGGTGTTCCCCAGTAACTCGCAAACCTCCCCAGTCCCTCTCAACACTTCCACTAAATGCGCTAAATGCTCAGCTGCTCCGTGAGCAGGACACCAAGTCCTTCATGTCTGGCCTTTGGAGAACATTCTGTACCCAGACTGTAGAGCCTGTCTTCAGTACACGGCTGAGGTTGTCAGCGGCCCCAGAGGTGCTGAAGTCTGCAGCAGCTTCACCGAAAGCTCTGGAGCAAGCACTTGAGTGATAACCAGCAATCTTGCCGCCGCCTCCCTGTTCTATGGCTCTCAGGATGTCATACGCACTTGATTGACACCAGTAGCTTCTGTTTACCCTACCAAGCCTGTCAGAGAAGTAAAACCCCCGATTTCAGTAGATCATGACTTAATGTGAAGAACTAAAAACTCAGAAGTGCCTGAGAGAACACAGCGAAGAGAAACCACAGACGCTGCAAGGGTGTCGCCACCAGTGTGGTGGCGCTGCATCAACGCAGGCGTCCAGGAGCAGCTGGCAAGGCTTCAGCTGAAGCCCACAGGCCGGCCCACCGCTGGCACTAGACCTGGGTTTCCTGTGTCCTTCGGGGCATGCACGCCCCGCCTGCAAGGCCACCTGTGCATTGCCACAGCCAAGGCCTGCAGAGCTCTGCTAGGAACTGCCACACCAGACTCTCAGCCATTACCCCACTGGGTAGCATGGAGGGGAGAGCGGGTTCGGTGACCACAGAGTGCAGCACAGGTCTAAGGACATTGTTGATGCAACATGAGAAGCAGCAAGTCACTCTGTGTGTAAGAGGCAGGTGGAGCAGGCTGAGCCTGCTCAGACAGCAGCCAGCTATGCTGGGAAGAACTTGAATCCAGGGAAGCCGGGCGCGATCTGGGGTCTCCGGTCCAGAAAGAGGACAAGGTCCCCTTCTTATGCCCTCCCATTCTCAGTATGGCCGAGTTGGTTGAGTATATCCTTTAAACAGAATTGAAGCCCAAGATAAGTAAATGAGTGGTGAAGAGGAACTAGCCCCTTTATTTGATTGTTACCATGTCTTTTATTTGACGCAGTAAATGTACATATTTGCATTTAATACAAGTATTCGTGTGTGGGGTCTGATCAGGGTAGCAGCGTATCCGTCACCTCAGACGTTTGCTGTTTGTTCTGGAAACATCCAAAAACTCTCGCTTCAAGCTGTTATGAAGCACTCACTTGATTAGTGCCAACCATAGTAGTTCTACTATGCTAAAAGTTGTGCACCTCCTATTTCCATAGCCATCCCCTCCTCCTCCCACACCCTCGTTGGGCTCTGGTAACTCTTCTTCTGGTAACTCTTCTTGTCTCAGATAGATAGCGTTGTCCTTCCGCATATAAGAGAACGTACGATGATGTCTGTCTTCGTGTACCTGAGTCATTCCATCTCCCATCCACGTTGCTATACCCAGCAGAATTGTTTACAGCTGAGTACTACTCTATTGTGTGTGTACCACATTTCCCTATCCATTCACTCGTCCACACCCCTGGGTCAGTTCCACTTCATGGCTGTTGTGAAGAGCGAGACAGGCAAGGAAGTGGGCGTGGCTATTTTAGATATATCCAATACCAGGATCACTGGATGTCTTGGTTAAGTTTCTTTCGATATGATAAAACACCATTACCAAAAGCACCCTGGAAGGAAGAAAGGGTGTATCTCATCCTGCAGCTTGTATTCCATCATCCAAGGAAGTCAGAACAGGAACTCAAGCAGGGCAGAAACCTAGAGGCAGGAGCTGATGCGGAGGCCATGGAGGAGAGCTGCTTACTGGCTTGCTCCTCATGGCTTGCTCAGCTTTCTTATAGGAAACCCAGGTGAACACAGGACCACCAACCTAGGAGTGGTACCATGCCACATCAATCATCAGTCAAGAAACACCACCACTCATCCACAGGCCAGTCCTAGGGAGACTGAGAATCCCTCTTCCCAACTGACTCTGGCCTGTGTCGAGTTGACATAAAACTGTTTGGCACCTAGATCTATTTCTAGTTTTTCTAGTAGTCTCTGTACTGATTTCTTCCCTGCTGTGCCAGCCTTTTTAATCTTCTGACATTGCTCCTCAAACTTCTGGCAAATGTAACCTGTCAGTAAATTCTAGAACTTAAATTCTACAATAATAGCAATGCTGCAGGGTGTCTTCCTAAGCGTTGTAGGGCAGTGAGCTGTGTCACCTCAGCTCTCTAGGTGAAGCAGCTAAGACCTCAAGACACTGAGTAATGCTGGAGGGCAGAGCTGGGCCCAGCAACACGCATCACCAAGGCAGCCTTTCTCTCTCCAGGCGAGTTTCACCCTGTGCCAGCCTGGGCTGTGATGGAGAGCACTCGTATGTTAGGGTTAGTCTGAGATCATGCTTAGTAAAGCCCAAGTGTGAGCCAGAGGAGCAGGTGAGGATACATCAGTACAGAAGCCAGGACATCACATGAGGTGGGGGGGGGGTGCAAAACCTGAGGAAGAGAGGCTCTGAGGAGAGTCGCTGTCTGACCACTGCAAGGGTTCCATCATGGAAGAATCGGGCATTTCCTCTTTGGAGTGGAAATTGGACCAAGAGAGCTTCTGTTCCCTTTAAGAGGATGCCTTTTCACTACTGAGGTTTTGAAGGAATCAGTGTGTCTTCTTGACCACATAATGACATACCTGCAGCAAAGTCTGGGAGCAAGTATCAGAGCATCATGTGACCCAAGGGCCCAGGGGAAGTGCAGTAAAAGAAGTCCCATGGGAGCTTGCCGGGTGGCTCCATTGGTAAACTTAGTACTGCACTAACACGAAGACCCATAGCACCCAGGTAAAAAGCTGCTCTCGGGGGCATACATTTGCAACCCCAGTGCTGGAAGGGTGCAGACAGGCAGGGCCCTGCAGCCCCTTGTTAGACAGCCTCGATGAGCTCCAGGTTGTTGTGGAATATTGCTCTAACTAGGCAAAGATGAGTCACATTTGCTTGTGCTGCATTTGCCTAACAGTGTAAAGATGGGTTGCTTTGCCTGCCACTAGCTAGACCGTAGGAAGATAGGCAGGGCTGGCAGGCAGAGAGCATGAGTCTTAGGAGGAATCTGGGCTTGAGGGAGAACAGGAGAGAACTAAGGGAGAAAGGGAGGGAGAGGTCCAGGGCCAGCCAGCCAGCCAGGCAGCTGCCAGACAAACAGTCCCAGGGTAGGACATACAGAATGAAAGGTAAAAAGCCCCAAGGCAAAATGTAGATGAGGAGAAACAGGTTGAAGTACGTTTGTTTGGGTTTTGGGTTTTTTTGGGGGGGGGTTGTTTTTTGGGTTTTGGTTGGTTGGTTGGTTGTTTTTGCATCCATGCTGAGTTTTACAGAGCAGTGCCCTGTTACCTACCAGCAGATAGAGTCTGAAACTCTTACTCTGGGACCCTAGACAGTTCATGGTCCCCTCCTCTCCCAGTGTCCCCCACCTGGCTCCAGGCAGCTCTGCATCTGTGTCCATCTCCTCCTCCCTCTGTGGAATTGCTTCTGCAGCTCACTGGTCTGGGTGTGCAATTCCCTCTTCTCCTCTGCAATCTGGATGTGTCA